TTATATTTTTGTTCTCTTTTACACTTTCTTTCATTACGTGTGAAATATTCTTTTGAACAAGAAAACAATTACTTTCAATTACATGTACAATCACTTTGAGCCTGAAAATTTATTGATAACGATCCACAATTGTATGCGACAGAACTAGGTCAGACGTGTTATTTTTTATGTATAGATTGTTATAATTAGATTAGCCACAAGATTAGTTCAGTTACAAGAAAATACACATATGCGTACACATATTGTTAACTTATTGGAATTTTATTGTTGAAAATATACAATTGAAGATTCAAGAAATTTTTTTGATATTTAAAATATTTATCTATATGTAGAGGAGAGTTGTTGAATGCCACTTGACCTATTATTTTTTTTATATTTTCTATTTGGTACTATCGTACGCAAATGAATGTTGGAAATTGTAGCTTGAGGCTTCGGACACTTATTATTAAATACATTTTTAACCTTTTTAAACTTTTTACATTATTACACTTTTAACCTTTCACTAATAACAAATTAATTTTTTATAATATGTAATTTATATAGCAACCGATCGCTTAAATCATATCTATGGCTCTTTGAAACCGTATTTCATTTGAAAGTATCAAATTTATGATTGAAATTAATTAGAAGTGTAAGATTAATAGAAATTATGAAATAATCCCTAATAATTAACTGTATTGCCTAATTTTAATCATTTATGTATTTATATATTTTTTGAAAAAATTAAGTATAAATATAAGAAATATATAAGTCAATTAAAAGTTAATATATCGGATGTATCTGATTTTTTAAAACGTTGCTAACATCCATAAAACAAGATGTAGCATATTACATTTTTGTGTTACTTATTTTTCATATATTTTATATTAATGCTATCAAATGTTGCTTATATTAAGTGACAATATAAAATTTTGATGAGGTATAATTTAGGTGATTAGTATTTGCAACCCTCCTTCACAGAAAAAACAATTTTGCTGAGAAATAGTTAGAACTTAACTAAATATAGATTTAAAAATAGTATTTTCAAAAGTAAACGAAACGGAAAGTCAAGCAACTACATTTAAAAGCTTTTATTAAAACATAAAAAATGTTTCGTTTAAAACGTTGTGTTCTCACATATAAATAACGGATGGTTTTGTTGAAGTATTTAAAAATTTAGCTGTAGATACAGATATAATGAAAATAACTTTATTGAGTCATCAAAATAATTACACACATTAATGTAAGAATTTCAAGCTTGTATGATGAACAGTGCTGCAAAAAATTTTAAAATTCTAACAACCAATTTCCACATAATTATTTTATAATGATCTAACAAAATTATTTTTAGATCTATTTAACTCAATTTTTAGATGTTTCAGCAAGATCATTCTTATCATGTGAAAAGATAACGTTTTATTTTAAGTAAAAAACAAAATTTTTAAACGTTTAAATAAAAAATTTTCAATCATTTTATTTTTCGTTCTCCGTTTGCAAAAGCTCAAAACTCTATTTTTAAGAGCGATTAATGTACACGCTACACCAATAATTTTTCGCAAGACTTTTATACAATCAATTCTATTCATCATTCTGCAGTAGCATTCTCGTTCGATCGGCATTCTTATACGAACCACATAGTTGGAATCTCTATGCAGTTGCGTCGGTATCGATGAAACTCAGTATCTCACATGTGGAAATTCATCGAAGCTCCGAGTAATTGATTTTGCTCGAACTCCAAGTTACGTTGCACGAATTTTTACTACCAGCCAGTAAAGCAGGAATTGCCGAAACTCAATAATTAAATTTGCTGTATCAACTTCTGATAAATCAAGTTCTTTAAACATTAATCAATGTGCTCTTGTAATTTTGTAGTGCAATACTGAAACGCGTGAAAAGAGACATTATCATTTTGTCAAACAAATAACACAAGTTCAACCAAATCTTTCCGAATAAACATCTCAAATGAGAAGAAAAAAAAATCAATATTTGATTTTTTTTTGTTTATTTATTATTATTATTGTTACTATTATTACTAACAAGTTATTTTCCACGTAACGCTCACGTAATGCTTGCAAAAACTCAAGTACTGATAGTGTTCATAAATATCATTTTGTAATTGTTTCATTCATTATGATAAAAACATCGCGCTCCAGAAATGAAGTTTTTTAAATGTTTTTTTTTTTTTTGTTAAACTGTTCTTCCATCTTTTTTAACTCTAGACTCCATCATCTTGTCATATCTCGATTATAAACGGAAACTTTCGTAGTTCTAGAAACAATGAAGGGTTAAACCTTGACATACATCACGCGATCAGCACTTTTATTCGGAATTTCGATATACCCCCATCGGATTACACGAGCGTCCTATTTTACATTCGCCAAGATACGTTCATTTTCTGGCGCGTTATCGAGAATCATTGCAGATGGAGAAAATTTTAATGTTAAATTTCTAGTAAAACACAAAATATACATAACGACCTGAGCACATACCAAAATATCCATTTTATTAATATTAATTGTTCTCTTATTAAATAAGAGAAAGTTCATATTCTATGTATCTAATTCCATTGTAAATAACAAGACAAGTAAAATTAAGATTTATTCCTAAATAATACTGTACAAACAGAGTTTCCTTAAATATATATCACAGGAATTTTGTTCTATATATTCGATTAAAGTTAAATAACAATTTATTGATGTTAATTAAAGAAAATGATCTATTAAGAATTTCTGTTTGATCTCGACCGATCGTCTCAAGTCTCCACTGCGGCTTATTGAAAGAATAGTCAAGAATGATTTTGCGACTCGCAAATCATGAAGAATAATATTTCACGGAATGCTAAAAATTTCTATATTCATCATTGTGCACATCGAACGCATTCGTTACGAGGAAAATAGTCGTCCGTTCTGCCGACCCTACTGATTGCGTTGATATTACTGAAGCGTGTACGCAATCAGCTCGAAGAATCTAACAAAGTGAACAGAGGTACATTTATCATCATGAAACAAAGCAGACTATGTCATTGTCAAGATAAACAACGCCGTAGTTTTGCGACAGTCGCGCTTTTTACAGATTAGAATGACGCAAAAAACTGCAAAATGTAAAAACAAGAAGAGGCATAACACAAGAGATAATCATCGTCAGTACAAAAAACTTAGTATCATGTATAAACTCTAATAAAATATACAGAAAAAATTAGATCATGTATCTTTATAGTTTGTTTTACATAATGACTGATGTTGCTTGCACAATTAACAAATTGGAAAGAATGATCGCTCACCCCCGTTCTTGACGGAATCGCCTTCTTTAGCCTCCTCTACAGCTGGCTGGACGCTCTCCTTGCTGGTATTGCACCCCATATCTTCTAACCCGTTCTTCTCTTAATTTTTTTTTTATTTCAAATTAAATCAGACGTCGTCAAAAATTATCCGTATTATTGTAATTCTCTCGTCAACATCGCGTTATCAAATAAAAGCAATCAAGTCATCACTTTTCTTAGTGGAGAATATAGTCTCGCGATAAATACGATAGTTACGCTCTACTTTTTCGAAAAGTTAAAAAGTATAAAGTTTCGTCTTGCCCTTTTCACTTTTCTATTGTTTTTTCTTTTTATCAACTTTTTTCCTCCCCTCCACTCGTATACCACTCGACATACAAGTCCTTCACTGCTCGGGAAGTTGTAAAACGTCGCGTCGTTTTCTTTTTCACGCTACGTCTCAAACATCGCTTTTGATAATGAAAAATAGCTGTCTATAGTTGCGACTAAAATTTCTTTGAAATTCTCAAAAGTATATCTTGCACTTCTAATCGACTGTGAAAATTCGACGACTTTCATTCGAAGTTACTTTTTTCTCCCCTCACTTTCTGTCTCTTTCTCTCTTCATTTACATATGTGCACATATGTATATGTACGTTCCTCCTGCGCCCACCCCTTACTTCCCACCGTTATTCGGGGGTTACTGACACGTCGCGTGGCGCCGGCACCTGCGAGACAATCCTTCACACTTGAAAGTAACCCGACACCTCTTCATGCGTCTCGCTGTCACGCGACGCCCGGTGCCCTGTCGCGATTGTCTCCTTCGACAAAGGAAGGATTCTACCGGCCGATCGTGACTCACCGAAAGTCAACCGCATCACCGCGCGAGCTGTGCACGTAAAGACGAGAAATCCCGTCGACGTCGCGAACGATACTGGCGTCGCTCACTTACGACCCTGCCCTTGCTCGCGTGGCGACCAAACCGAATCGTACCAGTCTATGTATATGTCAACAGATATATATTCGCGCCACACAGTTACCCTCCGTTTCTCGCGCCGTAGAGGAGCCGCGGAGGCGGCGGAGGTGGCGGCGGCGGCGGCAGCGACGGCACGCACGCGGAAGAGATCGCCGCGTTTCTAGCCACGTTTTAACCGGCGCGAAGCGACACGCTGGCTATGAAAGCCTAAAGCGCAAGCCTCACTGTTACCAATGTATGACGTTTGTCCTTCCGTGAGGATTCGGCGCCAGGACTCGATAGAGATTGCACGATGCGATTGTACGGGCGAACCGTAAACCGTTTCGATCCGATAATTGTCTCTCCCTAATCGCACGCGCCGCGAATGACTAAATGTGCGCTCCGCCACTCCCAATACTTCCATACTACTCGCCATCCGGAGTGGATTCTCGCGACCTTAAAAGCGCACGATCGATTTCGCAGACGGTGGTATTCCACTCGCCTAGACCATCGTCGGCAGACCGTTGCCAGACCGGCGCCAGCCTCTCCGTTCTTCTCGTTTTCTGGAACGAATATCGATTTCGCGGTCTCCACGCGTGTTACCTTACTAATATATCTCAATTGTTTTGCGCGATGTTAGACTACTACTTGCGAGGAACAAGGATGAGGATAAAGATTAGAATAATGAAACGAGGCTAAACGATTCTTGAAACAATGGAACAATTACACGATTACACGTGTATCAAGAGAATAAAAAGAAAGATATTTAATAAATTATCAAAACATTTAAAAGTCTTTATTGATTCTTCTTTATTAACGATCGATAGAAATAGAATTGGAAACCTTTGCTATAGTAATACATATGTGTGAACATGATCACATGTCGGCTGTACTCCACTTATAGGCATCTTCTTGTAAAGCTACTTTTGCATTTTGTGCTTCGTACCACTTCTTCTCATATCCGTTACTTCTATCGACCCCGTCCCATCGATGACCGGGCTTAATACCGAATCGATTTGGCGCGAACGAACCTTGATATTGCGGCGGATCTACAATTGGAATGATTGGATAACAATTTTTTTTAAAGACATATAATAGGAAGAGAAATGCAAATTTCTCTCTCGACTTACATACCTGGTTTTCTTTTTCCCTCTTTTACTTGTTTTTGTTTTATATACTTTAACATAGGATCACCTTCCCTCTCTTGTTCTCTCAATTGCTTATCTAGATCTGCATCATCTGCGTATCTCGCCAAAGGTTTATGCATCTCGTACAAGTCATTTTTTAATTTTTCCTCACGATTCTCCACTTGTTTCAAGCTAGAATAAGACATGGATATCTATATTGTCATGGACATGTATTAGCGAGAGACTTAAAGAATTTAAAACAGAAAAGCAAAAACGAAATAAAGATGAAAGAAAAATCGCTCACCCTTTGCCCCATTTGGCGTACTTCTCATCTATCTCTCGTTGTTTCATTTCCTGTTCTCGTTTTTCTGTTGCTTCTGCTTCTAAATTGCGCTTTCTTCCCGTTTTGTCACGTACAATCGTAGCTTGTCCTTCTCCAGTGATCTCTTTACTTAACTAAGACAATTCAACGCTAATTTATATCATCTGAAGTCTCCATGAATAAATAAATACTTTTATAAATATAATCTTGTGCTATAAAAAATATTACCTTGCTAAAATGTTCCGCCTCTTGTTGTTTATGGACTTCAGTTTCTTCTCGCAATGCTTTCGCAGCTTGGAATCCTGCTGTTTTTCCATCTAATGTCTTTGTCGCTCGACCGTGTTGATCTCTGGAATGATTTCTCGCGTGTCCACGTTCAGAATCATTTGTTTCCTCATCCCAACGCGTCTTTTTTCTTCTTTCTCGTGTATCCGAATACGATCGAGATTTATGATCTCTATTTTCATGTTTCTTTTCTTGTTTATCTCTGCTCGATCTGTCCAAAGAGATTATTATATTGTTTGTATCGAACACTTCATATGCAACAGAATTTAAAAAATGAAATGTAATAAAATTCCCTAAAATTGAAAACAATATGTGTAATAATAAAAATTCAATATTTAAAAGAAATTTTTTAATCTTAAAATATATATTTAAAAAAGTTTATTAAAAAAACGAATGTTATAATAATTATATGCATATTCTTCTTTAAGACTAAAAATCAACTAAATGCATCAGAATATACGTATATATAATTTTTGATCATAATAATCTTCATCGAATATTTGACATGAAAATTACCTCGAAATATCTTGTCTACCGGATCTGGATGAATTCTTTTTATCGTAATAATCATGTCCTTTATTATCTCTACGCGAAATGGAATGTGGCGAATTATCCCTCCGAGATCGATGCTCATTACGCCAAGATGTACTTATATCCGAATCTCTGTCCTTCCTTTTCTTTCTGCTTTCATACAAATCTGTATCTAGATTCTGTTTGCGATTTTTTCTGGGTGGACTAAAATCCGAATCACTGTCTTTGTTACCTGAACTTCGGTAGCTTCGTCCAGATGTACTGTGAGCCGAAGTCCGATGTTTTGTATTTCTAGGTGGGCTTAAATCTGAGTCATAATTTTTAGATTTTCTAGGTGGACTTAAATCAGAATCATTATTTCTGGATTGCCGAGAGGGACTCAGATCTGAATCATAATTTTTAGATTGCCTAGGTAGACTCAAGTCTGAATGATCATTTTTAGACCGTTTGTTTGAGTTAATATGTTTATGTTTAGAATGCTTAAATCTGGGTGGACTCAGATCAGAGCTATCATCCTTTGATTGTCTATTTGGATTCAAATCCACACGTTTATTTTTAGAATGCTTAGATCTAGGCGGACTCAAGTCTGAACTATCACTTTTAGATTGTCTATGAGGACTTAAATCCACATGTTTATTTTTAGAATGCTTAGCTCTAGGTGGACTCAAATTGAAGTTGTCATTGGCCTGCTTAACATTTGTCTCATCAAGATTTCCTTCGTCTTTGTCGACAGTACGATTAATAATAGTTAAATCGCCTTCGTCATTCTCAGTTATAATTTTCCATCTTCGCTTATCTGTGAAATCAACTGGTCCACGTTCGTCAACTATACCAGCGATTTGAGGAGCATCTTCTCCTTCTAAAAGGATATCGAATTCACCTTCTGCAATAGGTCTCATATTCTTCAAGTCTATATCATCATCTATAATTTTTACTCTGTAAAAATATGTACATCCAATTCACATTTAAAGATTTCACTTCTAAAAATTATTTTATAAGGACCAAGAAAACGTTTTAGTTATATAATGAAATCAAATATATTAATCGCTATGTGTGTAAATATCTCAACAAAAATATTGTAGAGAAACATGGTCTGAGCAATCAAATTTTAAACATGATTTTTATACTGACGTAATTTTATTCAAAAAATAATTTTCAATAATTTTACAAAAATGAGAAAGCTGATTGACGCGATATGGATAATATAAACGTATTAATATTTTGTTTATAACCACCGTTTACATTGCATTCTAGAGCATCATGCACAGCTGACAACATAACCTAACTTTGATGCGAAATATTCACCGTTGATTAGATTAAAATACTTATAAATTTAATCTTACGTTTTCATTCCTGTCTTATATTTCTTTTTCTTCTTTTTCTTCTTTTTTTCGTCACCATTGTCAAAGGATGTGTATTTTTTTAAGTATTCCTTCTGGTTAATTCCTTTATTCTCCATCACGCAGCACTACGTTGCCTAATGTAGATAATTTCAAGTTTTCATTTTAGGGATAAATCAAGTTTGAGGGTTGTCAGAACTGTTCAGTATGTCAAAGTTGAATATATATACGTGCATTTAAAGATTACGATTTTAAAATTAAAATAATCAATATAAAATATTTTACAAATGAAAATAATCTCCGATTTCTGTCTAATTTAATCTAATTTTTTTTAAATACTTCTATTATAAATGTAAATGTAAATAAGACTAAAATATATAAATGAAGAAATAAATAAATAAGTAAAATCAAAATTTTATAACAAAAATTCCTCATAATTATCCCCCCCCCCCAAATCTGACCTATAAATTAGTACGAAGAAAATATGTATAACAGGAATAGAAAACATTGAAATTATTTTGAATTTATTCAAATAGTCTACTTGTTACCTCGATCATAACATGAGAATATTTTTGCAATAAGTTTCTTTACCACAACGATAAAGTTTATATAAAAAATTATTATTATTGTTTCAAATTGATTGTATTGCAAAAGTCGAAAATAATCATATCTAACAATATACAATATATCAGCGCAATCATATATGTGACATAAGTATATTTTTAAAATATAGAAATTTTATCAACATCTAAATGAAGCGTTAACTGAAGTTGACGCTTTTTTTTCTTAATTGATTTATTCATATAGCGATTTATAATAATCTAAAATAGGTTTTAAATAATAAAATTTCGTGCAGAAATATAGATCCTAATAAATTATCTTTCCGTTATTAATATTAAATGTTTGTATTGAAGCATTATTTAAATGCAAAGGAAAAATCGTTTTGATTAATAAACACAATATTAATTGCTAATGCAACATGAAAAAAAAAATTAATACAAAGTTAATACCGTTATTTGAACGTCAATGCCAAAAGCAGTAATGTTGATTAGAGTACTGCTATTGGCCACATATCAGGCAGGTGAAGCCAGGTGAGACCAGTCCGGATCAGACTGGATGGGAGGTGGTAGAGAAGCAACCAGGTAGGAAGGTAGGGAGCGAAAGTGAGCGCGTCTCCAAGAATGGGCAAGAAGGTGCGGTAGTGACTACTATGAAACAGTGACAGAAAATTTCACAGTAAGTGAAGATAGAGTCTAGAGTATCGGCTGATCAGTCTTTTCTCAATCATTCATCGATTGTGAGAAACGCGGAAAGCGCGTGCGGAACGTGCCGCCGTTGCGAAAAATACGATGATGTGGATTGTGGTATCGTAGTAGCTGGTACCAGTTCACCAGCACGCAGAAAAAGAGAGATTGCAAAGGACAGAAAGAGAAGGAGAGACGCATGCCATGTTACGAACGTGTTGCTGATGCGATGCAAGCCAGTGATTCTCACCTCGCATCACGAGGTAACGCGTGGAAGAAGAAGGTTGCTCCTGCGCGTTCCTCGACGTGTATTCAGTGAGCGTGAAGCCGCGGTGACGTAAACGTGTCCGTATAAACCGTCTTCTTTCGCAAACACGTAACGAGAAATATTCCCATTTCGGCGACAAGATGACGAGGAAACTCAGCAAGTTCTTGATACTTTTCGATAACACGAATCTATTGTATTTTCCTGGCCACTTCTTGTCCGGCCGTGTTCTCATAGAGCTGGACGATGAAGCTTAGTAAGTAACCGTTTTATAGAAAAAGAATATTGAGTTCATGGTCAAAAAAATTATTTTTGCACGTAAAGAAATATATACGTTGAAGAAAAAGAATTTTTTTTATTGCAACGCGATGAAATGCCAGATTTTACAGATATGTACATATTAGATCTAGTAAGTAACATGAGTTTAATAATGTGGGGTACACTACCGTAGCGTCTCGGGACTGCATTTCCATGTTGTGGGAGAAGGTGTAGTTCGGGTACGCAGTCAACGTGCTGAGAGAGTTTACGACAAAGAAAACTACATTGATTTTCGCATGCGGTTGTTGGGTGAACCAGGTGAATTTTAATTATTTCGGATTATATTGTATACGCATAATTTCGAGGATACGCAATTTAACATTTTAAATCACTTTTTATAACAGTAAGTGACGCGCTTCAGTAAATTGTTTGTATGATAATAGTATAATACAAATTTTCTCTGTAATATAATTAAGGTGATAGCTTGACATCTTTTTAACTCAAAGATGTAAAATATTATTTTAAATATTTGTGTATGGGAAACGTGACTTTTCTAATAGGCGAAGGACCGTCATTACTATCTCCCGGAATACATAGTTTTCCCTTCAAATTGGGGTTGCCGTTGGGTCTACCTTCCACTTTTCTCGGAAAACATGGATGGGTGCAATATTATTGTAAAGCGGCTCTTCGCGAACCAGGTGGACTTACTCACAAAAATCAACAAGTCTTCATCGTTATGAATCCAATCGACTTAAATCTGGAGCCTCCAATATTAGCGGTGAGAGTTGTATTAGGATAATCAATAAATTAATCTAAATGTGATTTATCACGTGTTTTAACTCGTAAATGATAGCTGAGTATACAAATTTACGCCAGCAAAATTTCGAACTTGTGGGTATTTGAGAAAATTGGTTTTGCTGATCACGCAGTTTTAAATGAATGTTTTTTTTTTTCCGAAAATTCAGTATTATTAATCGATTGGTTAGAAAATTTTACATTGAAAAACATTAATTTCAGTTTAATTTAGTTTTCAACTTTTAAAAAATATAAAACGCCTCGTGCTAATTCGCACTTAAATATTTTTTTAAGAGTGTTCAAAAAGGACGTGTCCTTTACGGGCTAAATTCGTTGAGTTACTGAGGATAGTCATATTTTTTTTACTAAAAAATAATTATTACGGATAAACAGTTTCCTGAGTGAACATCTTCACATAGCCGATTCAGACCAAGAAAAGTATTTCGCGCCTGCAATTAAATAGATATTCAGCGTTCTTTATTATAACCAAGACCCAAATACTGGTCATCGACCTGTATGGAAAAAGCGTTGCAAATATTTTCATGTAAGACGAAGAATTTAATGAGATTATGTATTCGACGCGTTCGCGATATAAATTAGATTAATTATTTAGACGAGAAAAAAACGTTTCCGCTTGGTGATTCGTATTTGCATTGTTTTGCGCCACAATTGCAACATAACGATAATCGTTAGATCGTGATGGAATCACCGCCCATATACCTCGACAGCAATACATTTGCATCATTAGAAAAACGCAAGAAAAAATTTTCGCGTTGGCGGATAACATTCAGCGACGAGCATTGTTCAATCGTAGATAGACGTATCGCTCGGCGAATATTAACGATCAGTAAACGTACTTTCCTTTTTAAGATATCGATTAATTTAGATTTCGAAAGTTCATACCTAAACTCTAAGTAGAATCATAAGGTTCGATAAGAATAACATACTCTCATAAGTTCTTTATAAGTGTTCATATTAATTTTATACAATATCTTTATAGACAACTTCTTGCTAGCTATAAGATTTACGAGAAATCGTATTTACGAATAATCGTACGTCTTATTATATCTATATGCATAAAATTAGAATATATCAATCATAAGTTTTTATAAGTTTGACGAAAACAAATTAAGAGTTTTACGATTTTACTTAGAATTGACCTATTAACTAAAATCATTCGGAAAAAATTGCATGTGTATAAATAAAATGTCTTCGTGATCGAATAGCAACCTGCGAGGCAGGAGATTGAACAACGCGTGGGTGTCTCTTGCGTATCGGGTGGTCCTGTATTCTGCAGAGTTAGTTTGGATCGGGGTGGATACGTACCCGGGGAAACGATCGGTATTTCTGCGACTGTCAGCAATCGCAGTAAGGTATATACATTAATTAGCACACAATACGTGTAATTTCGACGCTCTTAATAAATATAATCCTGTGGCGCTGTACTTAAGACACGAAAAATTTGAGAATTTGAATTAACACAGGTGACGATGAAGTCAACCAAGGCGTCACTCACTGAAACGATACAATATCTGTGTCGAGGTAAAGTACTCGCTAGCGAAACTCGCGAGTTGGCTAGCGTTTCTAGGGGGAAGATTCGGCCAGGTGAGAGCGAGGAGTGGCTAAACGAACAAATGTACGTTCCTCCGTTGCCGCCGACGAATCTGAGAGGGTGCCACTTGATTAACGTTCTTTATCACGTTTACGTGAGTGTCATGAGAGAGAGATGTAATTGCGTTAGAATTTTTGCGAGGAGTTCTTGAAATTTATCTAGTTTCTCCGCAGTTCGTCATAAGTCCGAAAAGTCTGGATAAAGAAATCAAGTTACAAATACCGATCGTGCTGGCCACGTACCCTTTGAGGCCGGAGGGTGCACCAGTTGGTACGGCGCCGTCTAAACGGGGCGCTCATTATCCATCGACGCTACCAATCTTCCGACCTTGGCTCGACGACAAGGCCTTCGAAATACAAGAATGAAAGCGTAATATCACGTACATCTATTATTGGATTATTTCAAAATTAGTGTCTAAAAAGGTACTAATTTTCTGTGATCGTTCAGGTCACAGTTGCGTTCTCATGCGCTTATGATTATTCCGTTAAAAAATCTTCATCGATTCTTGTATTGCTAGTCACGGCAACGCTCATGTAAAGTTTCAAAGAATCGATGGCGATATTCGGAAATACTGTATCTGGTGCAATTATATATGTAGCTGTTAAAAAATTTAATGTACATTAAATGTTACGAATATTGACAATATATATTAACTCGGTTAATTGCGTTCAAAAAATCAGATGTATAAATTGTATAATATTGTATAATATAAAATAATTGAACAACTTTTAACCCTTTCGATACTAACAACGGCTATAGTCGTCCAGCTCCCAATTGAACGCTCGCCATGCACTAATAACGACTATAATTTAACAATTCCTTTCCATGAATACTTTATATTACACGGTAAACTGCTATGCTTCTTCTCCAGTGAAGTGACATTTGCGTCATGATTGTTCCGTACAGTGGCAGCGTATTTGCGATTTGACTGTCCATACAGATGGAGGCAATAGTGAAAAATAAAGTCGTATCGAAAAGGTTAAACAAAAATATGCGAAAAGTAAGAGTATAAAGATAGGACAAATTAAAATATATTTATAAGGTAAAGATTATATGTATGTATAAATTGGGAAAAATCGTTTAATATGACAGAAAAATTTAGTAAAGAAGTGTAACATTTAATTATCCATCTCTCCTTTCAACTTCGCCAAAACTTGATCTGTCGTAATTCCTGACACTATAACTACTTTTTGCCGACTTCGGGATCCCTGCAAAAAGAAAAAGTTTAAAAAATGTACAAACTAATAAAACTAATTTAAATTAATTGAAATTAACACTAACCCGATCCAAAGATACATCAGATTTTCTTACTCCAAAAATCGCAGCTAAATACTTAACGAGTTCGGCATTGGCTTCACCTTCCGTTGGTGGGGCGGAGATTGCAATGCCTACTGCTTCGTCAGAAATATCTATGGATATTCATTTTTCAGCAATAATTATGCGATTGTGTTAATGAAATTCTTTCCTTTTTTTTTTTATAAAACATAGAATACATGATAGTCTTAAAACAGGGCGCTTTTTTTTATAATAAAAAAATGTTATCAAATGATATTTCGCATTACCGGTAACGTTGTTACATTTTGCTCCGGGCTTAGCCTGAATTTTAATTGCGACGTTTCCGTCTTTATTTAAAACCACAGGTCCCGTAGATGGATCCTGCAAACAATGCGTTAATGGAGGCAATTTCTCAACACACTCGGTATGTAAAAGCGCTGGCAAGCAACCAACGTCCCGTTGCGTATTTATTATTTCCGGAAAAGCGAGAGGTTGAGTGATCATCGTATAAATTATGCGTTGTTTCTTAGCATTGCTGCGCCTTATGTGCAAGAACCATAAAGCTTGGTATTACATTTGTTCGTTACTATCGAACGATAAATTTTTCAAACCTGTTGATTGGCTATACGATAGAAATTTGAGAACCTCTCTGTTTTGCAATCAGCACATTAAAATGGACTTAAAAATGAATTTATAAGTGGCAAATAAAATCATGATGTTCCTTTGATACATTATTGACTTCTGGGTTCTACTTAAATATATGTATGTATAATAAGTCTTTATTAGTATATGTAAACTTTTAGTAAAAGTTATAGCTATCTGAATACGTATTTTAAGTAAGAAAAACTTTTTTTTGGATTCAATTGGATTGAAAAATTGTATTTTCTATTGAAAATTATAAATTGATAAGTATTCACAACGCACAGGAAAGCTGATATTACTTTTAAATTAAAAGAAATGTGCTTCATGCAATTCTTATAAATGAATAAAAATGCATTCAGGTTAAAAAAAGGTTCATTTTAATATATAATTCATTTTATATAGTTCATTTTAATGTTCGCAAATACGTATTTCTATTGAAAATAAAAATCGGAGCATAAGTCGAATATAAATGAAGAGTAATAAAAGTATAATAAAATGTTTTAAGGAGCATGAATTAGAACAATGGAACGTAAAGGAAGCATTAAAACGCTTTGTAAACGTTTTACGCTTCATTTACATTCCATTGTTTCAATTTACGTACCTTAAAACGTTTGATTACGCTTCTGTCCCTCTCCCTTTACATTCCACTCACATTTCTTCTAGTCTTATTTTATTTTCACAAGGGAATCTGAATCGATTTTAATCCATTCTTGTATTATATATATGTTGGGTCGGAATTTCTATATAAAAATTTTATTTTCATGGCCCTCTAATCTAAACTATTAATCGAAAAATATTTATTTAGAGAATGTACATAGTATATCTTCCATAAAGAACACGACAATATTAGAGATTATATCAGAATAGAGCATATGATCTCTCTCTGTCTCTTTTCGACAGTCGCTTTGTACGCCACCACGTGCTAAGTGACAGATGTCACAGTTTCATCCACGTGTAATATTTTGTACACATGTACAATAAATTTGCAATCGCGGCAATAATGACAAGAACTACGAATCGTAACTATCATAAGGTTGGCAGACGTGGCTAGTCACTTTTATCGACACGGAACGGAGTGGCCAGAGATGGTAAAGTGTACATAACAGAAAATGTCACATTATTTTCGTGATAGGTGATCGACTATCGTATGGGCGAGACATCGGTAAGTACAAGATCAAGATGATCACTCACATCAGTGCCGGTCACCTTTGACGTCTTCGCATTCCTCGTCGACCGTTGTTTCGACATTTCGCGCGTGACGATTAAATACTTGCAGCTGCTTTTAAACCGCGTAACCATGTGCTTTTCGTGAAATCGTTTATCGTCCGCTCGTAAGATTGAAAATACACACACGCGCGATTCTCTTCGTGTTATTGTGCCTTGGAATGCCGATTATTTTGAAGCCTCCTAACCTGAATCTTAAGAATTTTCACGATGATTCCGCGCATGTCATATAGGCTATTGCCAACTCAAAAATATAATAAAACGCATGCCCACTAATTTCGAATACAGAGGAGCACGATAATACAAATCAAATGCAAAATTTGAAAATAACAATAATGAAGATTTATTACGTCGCAGATCAAACATGCCGAAGAAATTTGTGGGTGAGAATAGCAAGGCGGTTGCCGCCCGGGCTAGAAAAGCAGCGGCTAAAGAAGCTGAAACTATTAAAAAAGCGCAAGAAGCCGAAGACAAAGCATGGGAGGACAATGATAAGCAAGTATTGAAGAAAAAACAAAAACAGGTACGTGTTTTATAGAATTAATATTATCAATAAAATATTAAACATTAAGGATAGATATATATTATACAACACATGTTTATATTTATACTTATATATACGAAAGTTGTGTCCATTACACTCTGTTTTGATTAAATAACACGTTTTTATACTTATTTATACTTATTATTATTTTCATTATTATAAAAACTGAAATTTTAAAAATAATAAAAATCTTAATGTTTTTATATTTAATTATTCAAAATAATACAAAATGTCATTATGATTTATCGACTAATTACAAAGATTTAGAAGAACAAATAAATATTTTGTTTACTAGAGATCTAATTTCTGCATCACGATGTGACTTTATATAAATAATCTTGATACATAAAGTACTTATATTAGGTGTACAAATTAATTCTCGGATCCTACCTTTCAGTGACCTCAGAACCCGTTTATGTTGAACCTCCCCTGTAGTCATTTTAAAGTGTCATCTTTTAGCTTTAAAATGAGATACAATATTTGATCTTCCTGTGAATATAACTTGAAAAATCAATAGTAAACAAGTAAACACGATGTCGTTTGAAAAGTAACATTTGAGACACTGCCTTCTTTTCGCGTTTCAACTTAAAAAAACGCGGCTGAGGCAAAAGAAATTTGTTCGATTTATAACGAAAATGCTGTATTGTACAGTACGTATAAAAAATGGTTCCAACAGTTTCGAGAGGGAAATTTCGACCTTGAAGATCCTGAACGCTCTGGTTAACCAAAAAAAGTGGAAGAACTGGAGTTGGAGGAAATTTTGAAGAAGAATTCTTACCAAACACAATTAGAACTTGCAAATACGCTTGGAGTAACCCAGCAAGATGTTTGTATTCATAGTTTTTATAAATAGGTGTCAAAATTGATCAAAAAAGGCTGAGAATTAATTTGTACATCTAGTATTAAGAAGAATTGAGATTTTTGTCGTTTATTTTATAATATATTCCTATACATTTCTATTGGAATACAGATTTAAAAAATGCTACTTTTTATTCAAATAATTTATGATTCAGATGGTAAACTACTACTAAGAAGAAATTTGTTTTATTACTTTCAAATTTAGAATAATTTTTTCATAATTTTTTATTATTTCAAAATATCAATCGAACATTCTTAAAAAGACAACCGCGTCAGTGTTTGAATTGAGTCAAAATACACATTTTATTGTATGCAGGAAGACATCGAGAAAAAACGTCAACAGCAATTAGAAAAAAAAGCGGAAGCAAAAGCCCTACTTGAAAAGGAAATGGCAAATATAAAAGTTGGTGGCAAGCAGCTTGCTTCAAAAATTACCAGAGCCGAAATCGTTGCTATCACTGAAAAACGAAATCAAGTGGCTATGAAGAAAAAAGAAGAGGAGAAACCGATCGAGGAAAATTTAAACAGATTGATTTTGGAAGGTGAAACGGCTCATGGTATTGACGAGGCTATATCCGTTTTAAGGTAATTAAATTACGTTTAAGACATTAGAATGTATCTATGCAAAATCTTATTTTATATATCTACAATTATAAATGTAAAACATCTTTAATTTATTGTATTTTATATTTATTGCATATATATATAATAGTTAAATTTAATTTCTCTTGTTATCTTGTTGTATTATTTTATTTTTAGCTCAAAAGATCCTGAAATAGATCGACATCCAGAGAAACGGATGAAAGCCGCGTACGCGAGCTTTGAGGAACGAATGATGCCGATGATTAAAGAACAAAATCCTACTTTGAGATTGAGTCAGTTGAAACAGATACTTAGGAAAGAATGGATGAAGTCTACTGAGAATCCGCTTAATCAAACGTCATTAAATCGCTGACGGTCATGGTGATATCAAACGAACGTGACACATATTTGCGCGTCGTCGACTGATCAATTATTTAATTTTGTTAAAATAAATAACCATTGTGATGTAATCATCTGTATACAATTTTTATTTGTAAAACATAACTTATAAAGTACTGTATATGAAAAATAACGATATATAAATCATCTTTGGTAAATTTATACGTTATTCCACACATAGCCTCTGTTTAATATTTGCTAGATCACTTTAAATAATTTTTTTTCTGACACAAAAGAGAGAGAAAGAGAAAATAACTTTTTAATAAAAATTATTTATTTTAAATAGGAAAGCACGATATACAATTTATTTATTAAAAATTCTCTGGTCAAGTATTAAATTTAAAGTTTAAAATGGAATCGGACTTATCCGAATCTTATACTTGACAGCACATATTGAAGGTTTGGTTTGATTCACATTTACGATGTTTAAGAATCATTTCTTATTATTCATCAAATGTTAAACAAGGACATATGATACTTATATATATTGTAAGCGCGAATCAGCTCGAGTATTAAAAATTTAGAAATATATGAAGTTATTTTAAGTGATCTAGACAAATGAGACGTTTCATATTCATTTTATCTGTACATTTTTTCTGTATATATCTGTACAAAACTTGGCACATTTTTACGAGGCCACACTTCATTAATTTATCCTATCATTTAATTTAATCGAAGATTAAAACTTCTTGACTTGTATCTTACGTTTTTCAGTTAAATATTATATTTGACTGAGATAATTAAATTAATTGATAAATAGTTTGTTAATTGCTTGAGTCAATGCAATTTTGGTATGATATAGCATTTTAGTTTTCTTAAAATCAGGATATCGCTCTACTGCCATTTTTTGTTTTTCCATAAATCTATAAAGCAATGTATCATGTGATTCAGTTGTTGAGGGCATTCAGTCATTGGATTGTGACCAGCCATTGGAATAGCTTCGAGGAAAGCCTTCACCATTGTCTAAAAAATTAAGATAATTTCAAGATCAAGTTCAAATCAAGATGTTATTTTTTAAAAAGTCTAGTTATACATATATATAGTTTTTATATTTTATATTTTTCGTTTATATACACATAATATTTAACTGGATGATAGGTCATGATATGAACTTACTCTTTCCATTTGACATTCTTGTACTAGCGACACTTTGTTGTCTCTTAGTCCATGTACGAGAAGCGTTGGTGTGCATACCTTCCTGTGGAAGGCATAATCACCCTGCGGCCAATTCATGCCTTTCAATATGTATTTCATGTGCGAAGGCCACTGTTTCATCGATTCTTGACCGCAATAAGGATGCTGTCGGCCTCGAGCGGAATAGAGAATATCTCGATGAAAACCGCACATCAACAGAGGCGCGAGAATCGCCCTGAGACAGCAATGGCCCGCGCATTCCGTGCTCGGTGGAGCAAGAGGTGTTGGACCGCCGCCTGATATTAGCACAAGTTGATGAATATTGCTATCGTATTTACAAGCTAACGCCGTAGCAAAACTGCACCTGGAATTCACATAAGATGTAAGCAGATATAATATCAGATATTATAATATCTATGTCAATAGTTTTTCTATAATATAAAAAAACTTATTGTTTTATCTAATAAATCTATATAATATAAAAATAATATATAAATTAACATAATATAATAAATCTAATATAAAATTTTTTTTTATAAAAGTGATTATTCGAGATTATGGAAAAGTAAAAAAGAATATTTTATAAAGCACAGTTTTAAGCAAACAATATCTTACCCGTAATTATGTGCGACTAAGACGCACTTCTCCCCAGGTTTAAAAGCGTAATAGTGTAGAACAGCGTCCAAATCCTTGAGTAACTTGTTGAAATGATAATCTCTAGAACGTCTGGGCGCTGAACTCATACCGTGCCCGAGCATATCTGGAGCAATGCAAGGATAACCGAGAGAAGAGAAATACTGCAGCTGATGTTCAAAGACTTCTGCCGAGGAACCAAAACCGTGTAGAAAAACTATAGTTGGTTTTTTGATTCTTCGAAGTGTTACCGAATCGCAGAGATTTAGTTTAGTATTTTCCTGCGAAGAGATTTCATCGAACTCCACCCATTTCTTGTAATCGTTAAGCTCGATGGGAGAACTTTCCGTTAATTTTACGTCGATCTTTAATAGAGTCTCATCATTTGGAGATGAATCTCTGTCGTTACTTTGGAATTCTAAGCGTAGTTTTTCGAAATTACAATCCATGTTAGCAGTATCTTCCAATCGCTCCACTTTCCAGTCAGGATCTATCGATGATGTCTCAAGTTTAGACGAAGTTTGTACAATCTCCTGAGAGTCAATCTCACGTTCTTCCTCTACTAGAACAACTTTTTGCAAATTTTTTTCGAGACTATCTTCTTCCGAGTTATTCGTCACAGAACCTCTTCCCAACTTCTCATCAATAATTCGTAAAAGAGATTGCTCAAAGCTGGGTTCTTGATCAGATAGCTGAAACTCGATGGTCTCTACGCTATTTATTCCAGAATCCACACAATCCAATTTTTCTGAAGGGATTCTTTCCGTTGATATTCCGAGGTATAAACCTGTTATCCCAAAAATAGTACAACAGTAGTGAAAAGTTTTATTATGTACAAAGAATATCTTTTAATGAAGTAATAAAAATAATCTTATTTTTTTTTTTAAATATCGCTTACTGTGTTTAGTTGCAGAACAATCGAAATCTAGAGAAGCTAATTCATCAGTTGAACCGACGAAAGCGGGATTCACATAACCCTCGCTTATTGAAACTCTGGCGAATTGAGTTTTACACTCGTTTTCTGTAATCCATTCCTCCTGCGTCTTATCCTCTAAAAGACGGGGATTAATATCGATAAAGGAATCATTTTCGTCCTTTTTTATTGGAATTTTTTCTTTGGATTTATCGGACTGCGATTTCATCAAATTATTTTTCGTTTGTTGCCAAGAACGTTGAACATTTTCTTTCTCCACCCTAGTTATATGCTTAACGGTATCATCAAGTACCTCTTCTAGAAGTGTATTGATATACCTATATAAAATTTATATATTTTTATTTTCATATATTATACATTCAAGCCAAATAAATTTCTTAATTTATCAAATACAGTAGAACTCCGTTTATTTGCACTTTATCTATACGAACAAGTTTATATATTTATATATACTCATAATTGAGCACTTTTGATTTCAGTTTTCAAATTTAACAAATTTAAACATCAGCTATTATTATTGAAACTAAAAAGTATCGACAGAAGAAAGAGCTAGTGAGAGTTTTTATTATCTGAATTATTCGGTTATAGCGGGAAAAACTTGTCTCTCGAATGTTCGGATAAATGAAGTTTTACAGTAATATATAGAAAAAGACGAAGAAAAATAACGGACATCTCAAGATATTGTATACAGGATGTATTTATGTTATTATTTTATTATTAAAAATATTTAATAATAATATTAAACTTACCTTTCTAAATCCTTAACAATTTGTTGTTTCGTGCTCTGCTCGAACGACTGCGGATCAGTCATTAATGTCGAAGACACCGTCGTTTCGTTTACGCAATCGGAAAGTTCCGCGGTGTCCCGTAACTTTTGCAAATTTACGGAGACTCTCTGCTCCAATTCTTCGATACCACGTGCGTTTTTCTCGGCCTCGCAGAGACTTGTTCGGATGTGATTTAATTCTGCAGATATTCGCTCTTCGGTGGTGCTTAACGCGCCGATGGACTGGCGAAAAGAACACCTGCAATTTCCGGACGGATGCGGCCTCCTGGTCCACCGATTAAAGAAATTGTCGTTGACCGACTCCGTCCGGTTGACCGCTGTACTCTCATAATACCAGCCGCTCTTCAGGGTCGGTCTGAGAACGCGCAGCGTGCGTCGTGGTGCCACGATAAAAAAGTCGCAGTCGGGCAACTCGATTCTGCCGGGACTGACTCGATTCCGATTCCTCCAACACTCGAAAACCTTGCCGTACCAAGGAGACCCCACTGGAATCTCCTCTTTCTCCGTTGCCATCGTTTCTTTTTCGAGATCCGCGGTCGAATCATAAATACATCAGTATAGCCGATTTCCGAACAGCCGAATACACGACTGTCATAGCTTCGGCATGGTTGCTAATTCCTATTTGCTTATAGCTCTTAGTTGCTGCCTATGAAATGAATAATACAATTCAATGATATAATTAATGCGTTTTATTTATCTAAATAACAGTTATAATATTTATATTGACTTTTCAATACATTTTCCTTGTAATTTTTTGAACTAGATATAAATAAGTATCTATGCTCAATAATTTATTTAACTATATATGTGGAAAGTTTTGTATCCAGATTCACTTTTTTAATAAATTAACAATCATAAAAATATAATAATTATTTATTTCAATCATTAATTAACTACTATATATATCAGTAAAATTCCTGACAGTTGCTCCAAATGTCATTCCGCTTAGATTGCTAATGTTATAATTATAGATCAGTGAGTTTTTATTGCGCAAATAGCGACTTTCTCGGTTTACAACACTTTTCCTACGTGTTCCCTGTACTCAAGCGATAAGATTTCCCCACAAAAAGAAACGAAAGTGTTCTTTTCACGGTCGAATAATTCGAAACAACTTTGAAGGCATGTTACTTTCAAAAAATGATATTTATTCGTATATACACACGAGTTTGAATTCGTTTTTTTAACGAGTTATATATTCTTGTGACAATGAAACTTTGAATAACGAGAATGCAAGTTACAAACACAGTAATTTAAGCTTAGAGAAGGAGTTTAACCAAATAGCTAATTATAGCATTCTTTTACAGCGACGTAAGTATCTCTGTCTGTCTCTCTCCCTCTTTCTCTATCGGAATAATCTCCTATTTAACTATACCAGGAAAAAGTATAACGTCAAAGCGTATATGTAATGATGAGCATATAATTTAATGTTCGTTCAATGATTTCACTTTTTTTCGTAGAACCATATACTATTGAATATGTTCGTGGACTTTTAAAACCCAAGCGAGAAATAAGACATGTAATAATATTGATATTAACAATTTAGATAATATATTAATCCGATTGTGGATTATCTACGTACAAATGATTTTGAATCTTTATGCAGAATTATTCAGTCATATTTTCGAAATTATTAACTATCGTTAATTGGATTTCGATCATTAGAGTTTTTACATTTTTCATTGAAAAAAGTGATTAGTCATAGTTACATTTAGTTTTTGCTAAATATTTGGTTACTATTATTATATTTGATATAATAGTTATTATATATTTGATAATATTATATATTTGATAATATTATATATTTGGTAATAATTATCAAATATTTAGTATATATCACTAAATATTTAGACTATAATAAAATGTTTGATAAATATTGTTAAATTATTCAATTTAATTTTTACCAAATATTTAGTAAATATTACTATGCAATTTAGTTTAACTGTTATGTGATAAAATCTAGAGAAAATAATTCTTCAAATGTTGTAAATAAAATAAAATGAATGCGCATTGGTTCCAAAATCCAATGAAAAAATGCTCTCTACGATGAATTTTTGTAAATCAAATTTTTCGTGTATCTGATTAGAAGATTATACCTTAATGAAGATTTTATGAATTTGGTATAATTAATATAGTATATAAACATTTTAAGTCTAGGTATGTGATAGTTTTTAATGCTGAAAATAATTTATCATTCGGAATAATAAATCATATAACATATAACTTTAAATATGGAGAGAAATTTTCACTATCACAATTTAATAATATTTGATAATATAATACTTATGACATATTTTATTCAATGCTATTAAAATTTGATAATAATTATTAATGTTTAATTGAATGCTCTCTACGATGAATTTTTGTAAATCAAATTAACTGAATTTGTAGTAGATTTTACTAAAATTTTGTTTATTGAACTCATAATTTCGTTTTATTTAACTAAATTATTTAATAATTATTAGCAAATGTATTTAATTGACACTACTTCACCCCGAAGCATTTATAATAATAACAGTTAACAGATACTAGCAACTATTACCAAATTTCCTTTTTTCGATATAAAAAATACGGGAATCCGAAATTATTTTCGAAATATTTGTTATAGTCTTGCTCCAAAAAAAATAAAATATTTGAAGCTCTTCTACATACGTATTTGATTCTTAATTTAGAAATCCAACGCCAAAAGATACTTTACAGAAGTATTATTTACCTTCCCAAAGCGGAGCAGCATGTGCGTAACACAACACCACATATACTAGTCTAACGAATGATACTTCACTACACTGAATATCAAGGGAGAATGGACGCAATGTAGAAACGTTCACTTCGATCTTCGCGAGAGTTTAACAACTGTTTTACGACGACTTGATGCACCCGGGCGCGATCAGTTGCGTCCTGTCGATCACTGTGTTTTCGTCAAGAAGCGTCAACAACACACGCAATGATGATGGTGATGATGATGATGATGGTCCATCAGGACGCGGGCGTCGTCCATCGGAGTTCGCTGTCGCACGGACTCGCATCGAATGGTACCACCGCGGCGGGGCGTCGCGCATTTTTTTCCGTGGGCGTTTCTCAACCGGCAAATTAAGTCAGGAAAATTGAGGACGATTAATACTTGAGGCACGCAGCACGTCGGCTCACACGGCGGCCATTGTACGTCTCGAACACACGGATGGGGCCAGTACGTTCAACAGAGAGCGAGACCCGCTGTCCCCCTACCATCGGTGGGGAAGTCGATCGTATACAGGGCGTTTAGAAAGTCCGCATCGACCTCACCTGCCTCTAGTTCGATTGAAACCACTGTTAAATGGAATGTGTGTCTGCGATATGTAAATATACGTTCATTAAAAATCATATATTGTAGTATCTTATTGTTAGGAAATCGTAATCTTCAAAGTTACGAATGACATAGTACTTCGAACATTGTCTCTCAACTAGAACGAGTCACGATAACGTCAAAATGTGACGTTAAAATCATTACTGACTGAAAAGTGACTTTTAGTAATCATTTTGGAGCCATTTTGATATCACTTTGATGTCATATAATAATTTGTGCTCTGCTCTTGGGCTAATACTAATATTATTTCATGATAAAAAATCGGAGTATTGAAGAGTATCCGTGTCAGACATTGTGTGAACTAATTCCTATTTTGTCGCCACCCTTTAATGAATCTTTCGTCAACAGCTTTGTACATGTAACTGGTAGCGGTACTCTCCCTTGAATGGAGACTTCCATGACCGGAAGAGACCTTATAAATCGCGATAAATCACGTATGTGGATACGAGCGTGAAAGATTTTATAATCGTATGACCTATTAAAGTGGTTCACAGTGATCGACACGAATACAAGTACAGTAAATAACTGTACTAAGACATCAGACCGAAGAAATGGAGTACATAAAAAATCAAATTGATAATGCAATTTTCAGCTGCAATCAGGCTGTTCAAATAACAGTTCGTACCCAAGAATGCAAGAATAAATTAAAATTCCAAAAGCGTATTTATTCGCGCGCGACTTTATCGATGAGTAATGTAAGTAGAGGAAACGATTTGTTGCTCTATAATTTCCAGAAGATTATGATAAGAGCAAGGGTCGCTGACCTATTCGAAGTAGCGATTTTATCGTTCAATATTTGCTAAGCTAGAAGATGAACTAAGGTAAAGGTACCAGTTAGTGGACGTGAACCAATTACTGGACAACGTGATAAAACATTTCAAATATTAGGCTTTTAACGATTTATACGATTCTAAATAAATATAATATGTTATTAAATTTTTATAAACAACAAATTGATTTTGAGTCGTACATGTGATTAATATTTAAAATTTTGTAGCACTTTCTCTAACAAATTGAGTCACGTTCACTAACTGTTCACTAACTAGTACTTTATTTACTTTATTTTTAAAATATTAGATCCAAAATTCTAATTAAGGCGGTGTATATTTATAGAATTACTTAATTTAGTTCGATTGTAATAAAGCGAGCATTCTGCGAGCAATTCTGTTGTATCATATCACAATTAACCGAGGTAATTTCTTCAAGCGCGCATAAAAAAATTCGCGCGGTAATACACACATGCGGAATGTGATGACACGTTTTGAATAAATGTGTTTGCGGAACAAACGAGTTGTGAGATAGCGCTCGAGAAACATTATGAGGAAGAAAGGTGCAAGTCAAGATGTCTTAGCGCGAACAACTTAAAAATAAAGAAGCATTAAACGCAGTAATTTATTTAAAACGCACCGTTGTAAAATAGAAAATTCTCCTGTCTTTTATTAATTTCTTTGTATTGCCAATCTTTATCGAACTATATATACATCTAATGAACTCATCGTGTGAATATTATCATGTCTGTGGATGGCGCAGCCCATATTATCATTAAGAAAGTATGTTTTAGCAGCTTGCAACCCCTGCCTTCGTTACGCCGCGCGTACCGCAGCTTTCCGGAGAGGTTGCGCGGATAGCGGACGACAGCCTCGCAGCGGCCGGTGTTCGCGATAAGCAGTGCAAATTTGAGTTGCACTCCGTTACCAAGAGGCAGATAACAATTTACGCGTTAAAATATTAGCCGACGTGCGACGTATCTTTACGAGGGCGTGCGGTGTAAACATTTCCAACTTTTACAGCGTAAATGTCGGTAATGGTCATTAACCCCGTAGCCCCGGGTTAGTGGCTTAAGGTATAAAGGGTTGTCGCTCATCTCGCTCGATTACTTCGTTGAGAGAACTCGACGCTATGGAAGTGACGCACTTGCTCGTTGTGTATCTTCTCGTCGGTTTAAGCACACTGTTAGTGCACGCTGAAAAGAATGCCGAAGTCGACGGAGTTACCGAGGCACCGATTACCGAGGATCAGCAGAAGGTGTACGATGAATGCCGGAATCCGGACTACAAAAAATACGTAAAGTGTTTAATGAGGCCGAAGAGACACGGTCATCACACAAACCACGGAGACGGGCCGGAAACTGGTAGAGATCACCAATCGCTATAACCATCGAGATAAACACGGGAATTCGCGTGCCGCTCGGAAGCGCTCCGCTCAGACATATTATGCAACTGCAGCTGTTGCACGATCACTTAGAAAGATAATCCGTTGCATTAAATTAAAATTACTGGATCTTTTATAACGTAACAGACGCAGTAGTTATGCAACACGGTTAAATATAAACGTTTGCGCGATTTTCAAGTACGACCGTTAAATATAAACGCGATATAAATATTGTATATCGTGACACGCAGTCTTTATTGTTATACAGTTAATTATACGTAATTATACATGCTGTATCATCGAAGTGCCGATTGTTTGGTTCGTGTTACACGAAAATTGTGCCTTACTATTGTAAATGATAAAATTCTACAGATCCCACTCACTGTCTGGAAACGTGTCTAAAAAAGTGCGACCATCACTTGGATCACGAGTGCGAAAAAAAATGCGGCTATTGCATGAAAAGAACCAGGCACAGGCATCAGATCATTACGGAATATGAGACGGAATGCGATTCGGGAAACTGCAGTCCATCCAGTGGCGGGTTAAGGACTACTAATATAACAACGCACATCGGCATTAATAATATCATTAACCCTTTCGGGGGAGGCGGTGCTAATGGTAGTAGAGTCAATATTTTTGGAAATGGCACTGGGTGGGGTCCAGGTGGTCCAGGATTTCCAGGAGGCTGCTGTCGTAAGCTTCTATTTCTTAATATAGAATCTAATATTTAACTTCCCTGAAATGCAATTTGTTAGATAAAGGACATTTTAATAAAGTCAGCCTCCATTTACAGCACCCGGAAGTCCTTGCCAACCAGGTAGCCCCCCCTGTTACCCTGGAATCCCTGGATCAATACCATCGCTTCCTATAGTACCTCAAATTTCGTTAGTACCACAAATTACGTATGGAGTAGGATTTGGAGCTGCAGGTGGTTGCGCGTATAACCAGTGGCTTTGTATTCAACAAACCGGCGCACAGGTAGACATATCGTATTGAGTCAGAAATATTTTTTATATATTAAAAAACAATGTAATCGTAGTTTCCAAGTGGGCAGCCCGATTGCTCTGGATGCGGCAATCCTCTCTTACGCTACAAGTGTGACGTAAATTGTTACGCAACTCAGAACACAGCTACTAAATCACCTTGTAGAAGTCCGGAATGCGTTGGTGGTAAGCGTTTATTATTTATACTCATTTATTAACACTATCATTAATTAATTTCAAACGCTAAAAATTTCTTTTTTGTTTACTGTTGTTAATAATGATATTTCTACTTTTATTTGTGCACGTATAAACGCAATATTATTATATTATTCTATATTTTAGGTTCCACGTAGAAATATATCGGATTTGTTGAAAGCGGACTGTTAAAATCGAAGAATATTTTATTGATCACTCATATTGTTTATATTTATAGCTTATCCTATGGTGGACTCGATAAGAAATTATAGCCGTAAAGAAGCCTTAGATTTATCATAAAACAATTCTTCATCTACTATTCGCTGAAATAATTATCTATATATGTGATCTGTTTTCCAACATTAACTTGTGAAATAAAGGCAGTTTTATTTTTCTTTTACAAAATCTTTGCTCTGACTATGTGTACGTCGAAATATTATTTATTGATGAATTTTGTTGATCGGTTGTATAATATAGAAAAAAGTATACCGATAGGAATGCGGCTATGTATATATGGTTGTCAGTCTCTTGGTGCAATACGAGGAATTTCTATCATGATTAAGAGACTACTAGAGCCGCCAATAATTACCGCTTAAATAATTACTGTTAAAATTATATAAATTAATTAAATTATAAAACAATAAAATAAAGAAAAACGGCTTATATGATTAAAAATCAATCATCAAACAATTGAAAAACAAGAAGCCAATTATTATAAATTACTTTGAATACTAATCCAAAATCATGCTATATTACAAACTTTTATCTCTTTTTATTACACTTTTATATTTTGTTTATAACAGCCGGTGATAAAAATGGTATAAAATTAAAAATGGCATACCGGTAGAAAAATTAAAAATTATGCGATGGAATAAAAAGCTAAACTCATCCTATCTTAATAAACATTACTAATATAAATTTCGAGGCTGTATCGGAAAACTGTTACAATTTGGACACTCATTGGCATTCCAATGTCCAAATTAAAATATTAGTAATGTTTATAAAGAATAAATTTAATTTTTGATGTAATTTTAAATTTTCCGATTTGTATATAATTTTTAATTTTATATCATTTTTATCACCAACTGTTATATTTATAATGATCTCGTGTATAAATCGAAACGTTTGTAATAATACATGATTTTGGATTAAAATAATTTAATTTGCTCATAGCCTCTTTTTATTAAATTAAAAATTATACACTTTTAGTGAATGTAGAATAATAATAAGGTTTGAAAATCTGTTACAATATGAAACAGTTAAAAAATGTCTATAGATCTATTATTTAGACATATAGTTAAAAATAGCGTTAGAATGTAATGTATGTAATGCAAGTAAATAAATGAATGGTCATATTGAAACTACAAATGCAATTGTAAAATTTGTCTTGCATTATGCGTAACGCATCGGCAGTCATTGGCGCGCCGATCGCCGGCATCGACTGCATTGCGTGGACAGACGATGTGCTTTCGAACCCCTACGGACAAGCGAGTGCGAGAAGGCTCCATCAGGTGTCAAGGTGGGAACAGGTGCTGGAAGCGTAGAACCGCAATATTCAGGTGCACCGTAGCGAAAGACTGTGACATTATGACGTTTACGAGAAGACTGAGTACAAAACGAACGGAATTGCTTTTTATTCTTGTTTTTCAACGTGCCACAGAGCGGGAAGTTGAAAGAGATTTTCTCTGAGACGATCAATGATATACTAGAACGAGAAAGATTCGATATAATTTTTCATAGTCCTTGGAGTATCCACTTTGATTGATGCCTGTGTAGATAAAAAAAAACGTTAAATGATTTTCTGATCAATCTATTAAAGCATGTGATGTGAGCAAACAGCAATAGCAATTTAATTTTTATTTCTGTCAGAAAATGATTAATATTTTTTTCTATGAACCAAAATAACGACTTAAGAAGAATTCGTATTTACTATAGTTACTTAATCACTTTACTATTATCGTGTTTACACATACTTCGTAAAAAGATACCGAGCATGAGTCCGAGTCGCCCAAACAAAAAGTACTTGCAGTCGTGAACTTATTACCTGCCTTTCGCAATGCACCAGCTTCGATAAGGTTGGATAGCGAAAGTGCTTGTAGCATCCCGAACAGGCGCAGCGTGGGAATAGCAACTTGTTTCTCCTACTACATCTTTCTCTCAATTCCGAGGCGTGGATGGATCCCTTTCTAAGAGACTTAAGTCGTTAACTTTTGCCGTGATGAGGATAAAAATTAAATATCATCATAGAAAAGGAAAACGGTTTTCTATGATGTATCCAGTATCGATTTTAACGCGCATTACTTAAATGTTAGTCTGTTTTCTCTCGCACCTGCAAATGTCAGCGTGAAAATATTGCCGTGACATAAAAAGTTATATAACATAGAAGACACGGATAAATTAATTACAAATACATCACAGTTTACTCTTTTGTATAGTTTATTGGAACGTAAGGTTGTGTGTGTGTGAAGCGCTCACGTTTATTGATCGCCATTGGTACATCATCGGGGAGACCCGGAAGCAATATTCTACGAGAGAGTATTTTGCGTGAGGAACGTGTAAAAGCAATATTTTACCAGCATCGATATGTACTCGAATAACTACGCTAGGCGGACTTGCCCTTAAGCGACGCCTTCCATCGTTATTGTATTGTTAGAACAGACAGCTAGCCAATACGTACACACGATGCCGTCACCGTATACGCTACGTTATGCCACACCAGTTTCTCGAACGATAAGAATGCAACGTTTCCCTCTGGCGAGCCGGACAGCGTGGGCCGTCCTGCCTCCGAACAATCAAATTTACTGCGAGCGCAGAGGATTGTTCCTGTTATTTCAGCCCACTCTTGTGCGAACGTCCGCCAATCAATTTCTTCTTTCGTTAATCCTTTTAAAAATTCTCTTTATGTGTTGGGCAAGATTTCTTTCTGTGTTAGACAAGATCTCTAATTTCTTTGTTCTTCATAAAAATCATTAACACCGTTTGTTTGCACGTAAAAATAAGAATTACAATCTAGATAGAATGCAAAATTATAATAAGATCAGAATGTGATATCAAGTAGAAATCATTTTAGAAAAAATCATAATGATATTATTTAATACACTTTTAATGATAATTTTGTGATGAATTTTTAATACTTATAATGACTTATACTTCATGTTATCTTGAATTTATTATGATTTTATGTTCTATCTGTATAATATAATATTAAGATTGGTTTATAGAAGACATTTTATGGTCGATATATTGTCACCAAGTACTGAGGAAGTAACCTCCACATTTCCTTTCTTTTTTTTTTTTACCTACACCTGGTGTGAGGCTTATCAAGCGCATGACGGACCACCCACGGATATATATGTGTATCGAAACCCAGGTGGAACCATTAGAGCGAAAGATCGGCTCATATATACCAGACCGCTAACATCCGTCGGTTGGTGTATCAAAAAGTCATACACCGTCAAGCCGTCAAGTTTTGTTCTATACAATATATTTTTTATAACTCTCCATCCATTCTCTGTGTGTACTTTGCGTAAAAGGATTGAAGGGTACGCTGCATGATATTGCGCCAACAATACGCTGCGCTCCTCCCCCTCCCCCCCCATAAAGAACATTAAATTTTCACGGTTTGTGAACTTATTTCTCTGCTCCCAGGGTGCTTGAAGACGCCCCTCGAAGACGCGTGCCAAGTTCGAATGAGGCTTCCAATTAACTCGAGCACATGTCATCCGTGCGCGTCGACTTCCTGCGGTTAAAAACTTTGCCGGAACACTACTCGGCAAAATGCTAAATTAGTGGAGGTAGGAAATAAGACAAAGACAAAAGTGGAGATCCTATATTAATTTATTTCTTTCGCATTTTTTACACAGAAAGTACTACGTAGGAACATATTATATGTGTAAGCTTTGTGATTGACTGAACTTATGTAGTACATCAGATAACTAATCAATTATTTATATATAAGGCGATCGTGTCATCAAGATCGTCATTGGTTGAATAATTTGAGGAGTCACTGGTCCGTAAAATGACTACCGTGGGCATCGTCGAGAATGGAAGTTCGTTGGGGACGGCCCCCAGTCAAGGGTTAGCAAAAGTCCGTTACAGTTATTCCTTGAAGTAATCGTTTAGTCAAGCACTCGGAAAACACTAATGAAATGGCCGGTAATCGATTGAACGATGGTACCCAAGGAGAACACACCAAATCAACAGAAAATTAAAATGACGTATTTTGACATGAAAATGATGATTTTTGGTTACAAAATGTGATTACAAACTGTTTATTGATTTTAAGTTATTCAAAATAAAGTCAATAAAAAATAAAAATAACGTCAAAATAAAGTCATTTTAATTCTTTGTTGACTTTTCTTGGATATTGTTTTAGACTCGATACAGTCGAAATTTTGAAACGTATAATCTTTCCCAAGCAGTTCTAATAAGTGCAAACGAAGTACAAATGAGTGCCATCTGGAAGTTCTAATTATCTCTAACTCGTTTACCGTTCACGAGGCATATGACTCACGAATATTCTTATATATGATATATGTATGTACATATTTATGAGTTACACTTATACTATCTATACGTAAGTGAGTCACGTATGATCAAATGATATAAAAATAAATTTCTCTGTACTTTTAATTGAAACAGAATGCGTAATTAATATATTATATTAAAATGAGAAGCACTGGCAATCTAAAGAATGTGAAAAACCAAAAATAAACGAACATTTAGACGTGTTAATCATGAGAATGTCAGTTTTACACGCAGGATAAATATAATATTTTTGTGATAAAATGCAGGCGACCATTAAAGTACTATCCTATTAAAAAATACATTTAGTTATGAAGCTATTATGAATCTGTTGCGATCGCGTTTTACGAATGATAACCTCCATTTGTCGTTGTCCGTTTTAACTATTTGCGTCTCGGAGGGTCGCTCATTTTCCTTAATTGCACGGCGCGACGGTACATTTAATTAGCTTTCTGATTGAGTCGATGAGAACAACAACCGCGTGTAACAGCGGGATATAATGATTGCTGCAGGATATTAAAGTAGGGGGAATGGTTGCTTTATAGAGATACGAGTTTTACATTGCTTATCGTTTGCCGATTACTAAATAAGTCGGCGTCGACGTCGGCGTGGATTTTTTTATTTTTCGATGTCGATTTTAATTTATTCAAACAGGTAACCCACGATGCGGCCAACGTAACCCGCCGTGTCCGGTACTATTGTTGTTAATTTTACTCAAGAGAATCGCTCCGTAGGATCTGATATGCATACGCATTTCCTGTAAGCAAACTTGGCTTCAATATATCGCTTCCTTATGTTAAAAATGACACAACTTAAAGAATTAAATTTCCTAGAAAAGAAGAAAACTTTTCAACTTGATAGAAAATTATTAACAAAGAATATTGGTAAAAAATATATAATATTTATCTTTACTTCACAACCTTTGAAAAGCTATCCTTTTATACAGTTGTTATGTTTTTAAGTTACGATGATTTTTATAAAGTTAATTTACTTTTTTATGATTACATTTATGATAACAACTCGAAAATAATGTTTTTGAGTTGCGTCACTTGTGAAGTAAGGAAGCGATATGACAAATGAAAAGAGCGACTTTTTGTTTTTATATATTACTTTCGAGAAGGCTTTTCAAAGGAATTCCTCCCAAAAAGAGTCTTCCAAATCGGCTTACCATACGTAAGAGATCAACACTTTTTTAGCCATCTCCATAAATCAACGGTCTATATTGTGTGCAACTTTAAGGAACATAATGTATATCCGTGTTTGTAGTATTAATTTATGGCCTGCTCGATCACATGTGAGAATAGTGAGAAAGGCGTGGGTCATATCAAGGTGTTTCTTAAGCGCCAGGATTTCGTGGTCTACCCGCACGGCCTACGTTTTTAGATTAGCGCTTCTGAATACACGAAATATACTCTGGGTGTTCCATTCGCTGTTGCGGTCAACTTTTTTTCTGTAACGAGAGAGAAATCAGACTTTTGCAGTTGTATCAGTAGACACCCTCCACCGTTCGCTCATTTTCCCAGCTCGCCAGTAGCCATGGCGGATTACAAGATGAGTCTATGGTAGGAATCGCGTAGAGAGAGCGCTTTTTGCTCAGCTCAAGGCCTCGGCGAGAGATGTGAATGAATCTAGAACCTGTTTCTCTCCCCACAGGTTCTTCTCACACTTGCCCGAGTTCTTTGCACGAAGTCGCGCGATACGCGATAATTTTACTGAAAATAGCATTACCAGCGCTTTTTTTGTTCCGCATTCGGATTTAGTATACATTACAGTAGTAGTGCTCCTTGCTGTTTCAATATTTTAGGAAGCTAAAACTTTTCCTCTTTTATTTCCATTAAAGGCACGGCCATAGAGAGAGCTATTATCAACCGTGTCAAAATTGGTTGCAAATTAACGTAATGCAATGTCGGAAGAAAAAGACAGCAGTAGTTCTATTATCGTTGATATTATTATTTTTTGTTGTTACGAGAAACATTATTATTAATATAATTATTAAAGGGAAGAAACAGACGAATAAAGAGAGTGGGAAAGGTAAAGGGATTGTATCCCCGTGCAGGTAGCGCCACGAGCAATCGGTGTTCTTGTGATACCGGCAGTTTCGAGCGAGTCCTGCCGGTGAACGTTCGTATGGGCCGAATGAGCGGGGCTTCTTCCCTCTCGTCGACCGGTGGCAGATATCGGTGCATCGTTCCTCCAGTTACTTGCGAGTTGCCTCTAAAGCAGAGCGTGTGATACGGACGACCGTGTAGCAGTGTTTCGTTGACCGTTTTGTTGCTTATCAGCGCGTTTCCGGGTTCACGGGCGCGCGGTAAAATTCAGATTAAAGTCGAGATCGGATCGGAGCCGATGACGCACCGTTTTATCCGCCGGACCATGTTCGCGCAGTCGAAGAGCATTAACGTTCTTTGATCGAAGGTAAGTCTCCGTCAAGATACCTTTATCTCTTTTTCTCACTACCGGATGCCATTTGTAATTAATAATCACACACACACACACACACACACACCTCTGCACTTCTCAAGATATCTTCTCGATAGATAATGTCAACCTAAATTGACTAACAAAGTTTTTTCCATTTCATATTAAGTAACTATAGCAATTATTTAATTATTCCGAGTAATTAAGTAACTTCTATAATTGTTTAATTACTTGGAATGTAATTTGGAAAATTAATTACTTATTGGTAGAACATTAGAGCGCTTTGTCTAGCTGCTCCTCTTCAATTTACGTTTAGCTGTACTTAATGTCTACTAGATATCAACACATGCTTTCTTAGAGGACGTTGACGTATACAAACGTCATGTACACAGTCAGTTCCGCATAATTTAGAACTCCAACACATTAATCTCGCGTACAGTATATGTATACGTAAATCATGATGCTACCAGAAAACTGCCGGCTTTTAATTCGATTAGAGAATGTTATTGATAAAGATCTACAGTAATAAATTATCTCTCCCTATAATACAAATTACTGAGCATTGGTTGCGGAAACAAGCACAGCTCAGCTAAGAGTTAAGTCAGAATGTTTCTGTTATTCTCGCAATGCTCTTATCTACCTGCTCATATTACGAATTGCACTAAATAATTTAGTAAGTTACAAGGTGTAAAAAATTTTGAAGCATTGTTTTTTAATTTATATAACTGTATTAATTCACATAGCTGTTGTTGAAAGAAACATGCTGGAGTTGTTGTTTTGTAATTATTTAAAAAATTTTAATATTCTCATTTAATATTCTCAATTTTCAAGTCGAATAAATTTAAGTCAGTTTACAGTCACGAATAATAGCCACAAACTTGCTATATTTACTAGAATCTCTGGATTTATTACATTTAGCAAAAAGAGATAAATATTTATCTTTAAAAAAATACATTAACATACTAAAAATTGGTATCAAGTTACGATAATCGCGATACATAAGTTCAAATATGCGAGTATTCTTCTTAGTTAAAAATTGTGCGGTAAATATAAATGCAATTTTTTCTAATAATTATTATTATTTGCATCAATATCATATTATTGATGAAGGTCAAGATTTTCTAGGTCATTTTAGATATTATTAACGATGGTATCAATATATTCTTCTCATAACACTTGAACAAATAACGTTAACTCTTTCACTACGGCAATGATCCGTGACCAAGAAGCGGCAATATCTTGATGTTCACGATATGTTGAATGCATACGCTAAATACATGTACAAAATAAATCGCGTTGCCAACATCATACGCCGTGCACTACACATTATGTCGTTGATATCGTTTCATTGCATGTTACATATATTGAATATTATCAGGACTGAGCAAAATACATCGAAATATAGTATTTGAAATACAATAATATTGTCAATCTTAATATTTGAATTACAAAATACAAAATACTTTTAATATTTCGATTTGAAATGCAAAATATTTTTATGTGCTCTATCAAAATACAAACTATAAAATACTAACCGCGCGTATTTCAAATACTATATTTCACATACAAATATTTGAAATAACTTCAGCCTTGAATATTACATATTCGCAATATACAAATAAAATAAATATTCCGTAAATCGAAGCGACGCATCCTAAATAGAGTAGTATTCGTCGATGTGGTAACATTCCAATCGCACATGATAATCGCAGCAAAATCTATCGGAAATATTTTTTCAAGTATAGCATCCAGCATCATATTTGCAGCAAGCAAATTAATATCGCAAGTCACGCGTAACCCATTTCGTTCAATCGTATCGACAGTGTTAATACAAACAACATAATTAACTGTCAGATATACGCAGCGCGCTATGTATGCATTGCGAACTCACCTATTTCAAGATAACGGTATAAGATCGTAAGCGATGCGCGAGATGCATTACAGTTATGCAGTACGCCCGCTTTATTCTGCTGGATTAAACACGCCCCTTTTAATGCTTGACAGACAGTCGGGAAATAAATAAGTATAAGAATTCTTGCGTAAGGATTGACGCGTGTAGAAAATGTCCACGAATTTCATCTTGATGTTTCATGAATATGTATTATATTGTATTAATGCACAGTACTCTGTAACATTTGAATTGGGACAATAATAGCGCTTCCAAATGACTTTTCTACCCCTCGTACGAAATTACAAGGGCGTGCAGGTGTATTTTTACCCTCCACGCCAGTACTCATGATTATATGCACTTATATCACCCATCATTTTCATGCGTCGCGAGGAGAAGTTGAATTTTGTCCACCGGCTTTTCGAATCGAATTTTCCCTCTCACTTACCTATAATTTAAATACTACTGAAAAATGTATAACAATATATGTATTCATTAAAAGTAAATATATATATGTATATGTATATTGTAAGAGCATTTGTACCTATGTTTTATGAAATAAGTTGACTCTAGACTGAAATCTCTTTGGCTATGATTATCGATCGATCCTCAATCACATTTTTTATCAAATCCATATAAGCTATTCGGAAAAAGATCTGTCTGCATTATTTGTAAAGCGAATGTATGCCAGACCGGTGTGTTCGAGGACACGCGGCTTTGGGGCCGATAGTTTTACTTTCTACGGGACGCCGTTTGATGAAGAGTAAAAAAATATAGGAGGGATACGGCAATTTTCGGAGAGAAGAGAAAAGAGAGAAAGAGATCTGTCGAACGACCGAGATATTTGCCACATTTTGCCGTTGGTGCGTGACACCGTTTTCGTTCCTTCGGCCGACCTGTCGAATTGAACTTGTATTTTTCAGAGCCGAGAACATAGTCAAATTATATTGAGAACCGGATTTTGAACCAGACCTCTAATCGTATATAGAAAAGTTATAGTTAGCGGTCTCTCTCGTTATTATGTAGAGCTATACGTATAATCGATGAAATGATGAGGGCAGTGGGTATAGTTATAGTCCCTCGTTCGCAAGGACAATGGACATCTGCTCCCTGGTGCACACAGCGCTTCCCGAAAGGCATGGCAGGTTCCCATGGCTGGTTGAGAGTCAGGTGTGCCTAACAGTGCAGACGTGAAAGCGCGAGTCCTGCAAAGAGCATTATCAAACACCCGCATCTCTCTTTCTATTTCTGTTTATACATTTGTATATAACTGACTTTACATAAATCCCGTATTTAAGCAAATGACATCAATCCTCAAGCTATGCAAAACCGTTGAATCGTTTGCATTGAAAATGTATTTTTACAATGGCCAGTTTCTGTTGTAGACCAGATTGTTTTGCATTTATTGGTAAAACATATTTGTGCGGGCGTTAATTTTACCTTCCATATTTGGTAGTCACGAATTCATCGGAAAATGAAGAGACTGTCGTAATCCAAGTCCAAATTAGGACTTCGCTCTGGCTCCGCTATGCTATAACAGCTTCGAGTCACTGTTATTCGGTAACAGTTTGATGTAATACTTTCGCATAAATAAAATTGTGAAAAGAAATATAAAATCGGCTAAAAACTGATGATTCTACTTATTTACGTAACTTTAATAACATTAGTTCACAGTAAAAAATTATTTTTCGAATTGGACTAGGTGTTTCTTATAGAAATATTTTTGTATGCTAAAAACGGTGCTACAAGCCAAAAAATTCCAATTCGTCAGATTTTCAAGATAATTCAGATTTAATATTCAAAAAATGGCTTTTTTAATAATATTTGATATTTTCTAAAGAAGGTTAACGTTATCTTGAAATTCCAATTAAAATCCATGAATGTATTTTTGTTTAATTTTTTCTATAAAATGCATTTTTTTTATTTCAATATTTTACTCTTTAGCCATGCTATGAAGGATTTAAATACAGAGCTTCTCGAAATAACAATTTTCCATAAAGTCATATACTTACAATTTGTGGCTATTGATACACATACGCAGACCATACAATTTTTATTTGAAACATTGTTTTTGGAAATACATTTTTTTAGATATTCGAGGTGACAATGAAAATGTAACACTCTGTGTACATTCACAATACATACGTAGGATATGTATATTTAAGTAAATCTATAACGATAAATTACACTACATCAATAATCATATACTGGAAGTCATAAGTATGACGACGGAAAATTCGTAGACGGAAAATTTATCTTAGAAAAACTCTGTTGAATTCTTTATTTATAACATAGAGCAAAGAAATAAAATTTTAAAATAAAAATATATATTTTACAAAGAGATGAATAATACATTTATGATTAATTATTGATATATTTCTGATCAGAATTTCAAGATTTTCAATCAGAATTTTAATCTTTAAAAAAGTATCAAATATTTAATGTAAAGAAAAGATATTTTTAATTAAATCTTAATTGTTTCGAAAATTTAACATGCCAATGAAATTTAACTTGTGTATGACATTTGTTTCCAATATTAAAAAATCTGTACTAAAACACATTATTTAATTCAAAGTAATTAAAAAAAGTAATGTATTTTCGTAAATTAGAGTATAACTGTAAGCTTACCTTGTATTTTTATAATTAAAAACAAATGCAACCGATTAATTTTTTCAGAATATAGAGTTTTGTTCGGCCGACCGCAAAACCAGGTAGATGAGTAGATTCTCGCTTGCTCGTGCTCGGTGAATTTGCAATCGTGTAAATCGTACTGCAGATAGCAACCGTTACCTAGTCTCTTCCAGATATTCTCGACCAATGCTCTCAGCTAAAGTTTCAGTTTACGCATACGTATTCTCTCTTAAACAATAGCGCGGTAATGGTACGATAACAATAGACAGTTTTTTTAAATGTCTATTGCACGTTCAAAATTTTATTCATTACTAAACGTCGTCGTTTATTGTTATTCATTTTTCATCACTTTCCGTTGTACGAAATTAAAATATATAAATATAATTACATCCGTTCAATAGTCGTGAGAGATTCTATAGAACAAATCACGTGGAAAAGGAGCTGCAGTGTTAACGGAATGTGAAAAAAACAAGGAATAGGAAGAAGAGAACGTGTAAATGGGTTCATTGTCCGATTACCTGCCTGCGATGCTCTTCTCGTGGTTCATTTTACTCCTTTTTTTACTCAAAAACGCGGAACACACATATGGGCGAGCGACAGATGTATTGTACATACGCGATGGCGACCGTTTTGTGGACGAGGGCTGACGTCATCCGACGACAAACCTTTCAAGGAAGTCCGAGGCTGTCTCGTGAAGCCTCCACCTTTCCCTTCCACGTTTCTCTTTTTTCTTTGCTTTTCTTACTCTATACGTACAGGGTGTTCCGTAGAAATTACCGTAGCCGATACCGTAGGATCTTTAAATTTGATAAGCGTCTCTCTTGATTTAATTTTCAACACTATTTATGAGTACTTTAAAGAAAGAAAAACAATAGTTATGCAGCTGTTAGAAATACGTAATTATTAACTGTGAGAAATTCATTATTATGTCTGCTTGTTTGAAATATTTTCTTATCGTATACACACATGCGCTATGATTTATGTTCTTTTTAGATGAACTTATACATCGTTCATTTTTCTCTTTTTTTCTCCAACGTAGAGAGAAAAAAGAGGAAAGATAAATCGTGCAAGAAGTTGAGCTAAAAAGAACAAGCCTTATGTTATAAAATTAATAAGTTTCTAATTTTTTTTACTTACAGCACATTTATGCGATGCGTCTGTTCAAACGTTATACTACCGATACGAGCCCGCAGCTCGTCTCGGCTGTACCTATATCTCAAGACGTTACGGCTGCGAATAATGCCGAAAGCAATACATCCGTGAGATCGGAGGATAAATCGAAGACAGACGACAAATTAGACGATATTCTTCCAGTCAAAGAAGATACCGACACGCAAAAAGAATCGACGGATTCTTCTATTCTGGCTCGTAAAGGTAGAAATACATAATAATATAGTATAGGATCGCATAATATCACAGCATATGCATGTACACCTAACGCAGCATCCATATTTGTATTCCTTTACTTATCTGTAATATACGATAACAAAGTTAAGATTAACTTTGAATGATATCTTGAAATCGATTGCACTTTTGCCCCAAAAGGAATCTCAACGTGGGGACGAAAGATGGGTCGACGATGGGATCAAATGAAGAGATCGGACAGCTCCGAATTGCTTTCGGTACCGCGACGACGACGACGGTGGAGTCCACATCGGAAAAGCGGCTACGATGAAATCTCGACCGAAAATAAAAACGTAACACAACAATAATTTAATACATTAAGTTGATTAGTTTCAGCTAATAAAGGAAGAACTAAATATGAAAACGCATTTTGGAATACTATTATAGAAGATAGTCTTTCGTGCGAGTATGTTAAGTTAGCACCCCAACTATAGTACTCAGGAGTTCTGATTAGAGTTTCCACTTCCTTTTGACGAGACAAAGAGTTCCCTATAGTTAATAACAAGAGTTCCGCTCAATAAACATTTTTTTTACATTTTTTAAAAATGGGGTGCTAACTTTTTTTCGAATTTCGAGGTGGAATAGTTCTGAGCGGCTTAATAGCTTCAATTTGCGATTGCCTAGAGTTCCTGATATGTAAAAAAAATTTTCGAATAATTAAAAAAAAATGAAAAATTTTTGAAAAATTAATTTTTAAATACAATAGTTCTGATGATAATTCCTGCTTCTTTTTGACGATATGAAGAGTTCTCTATGATTTTTAATGACCTATGTGCTTAATAATCATTTTTTAATAATTTTGTAAAAATGGGGTGCTAACTTTTTAACGAAATTCAAGGTCGCATAGTTCTGATCAGCTTAACAGAACTATTTTGTGAATACCTAGAGTTCTTGATACATAAAAAACATTTTTTAAATATAATAAAGTTTAAAAAAAATAGTGGAAATCTTTGAAAATTTTTTTGAGAGTACCGAATAGTTCTGAGTAGCGTTTCTTATAGTACTCGACGAGTTCTATCGAAAACTGTAAGATGAAAAAGCGATTGGACCAACGGTTTGCAAGATACAGCGACATTTGTCCGAAGATCAACAATTTTTAGAGTATATCACGGAAACCGTTGGTCTAATCGCTTTGAGCCCTGATACTTTTCGACAGAACTCGCCGAGAACTGTCCAGAACTCCGATCAGAACTACTCGGTACTCTCAAAAAATTTTGACTTCAAATTTTTTTCTAAGTCCCACATCGGAAAATTTTTTGAGAGTACCGAACGAGTTCTTTCAAAAACTGTAAGGTGAAAAAGCGATTGGACCAACGGTTTGCAAGATACAGCGACATTCGTCGGAAGATCAACAATTTTTAGAATGAGTATATCTAGGAAACCGTTGGTCCAATCGCTTTGAGCCCTGATACTTTTCGACAGAACTCGCCGAGAACTGTCCAGAACTCCGATCAGAACTACTCGGTACTCCCAAAAAATTTTGATTTCAAATTTTTTTCTAAGTCCCACGTCGGAAATTTTTTTAATTATTCTTAAATTTATGGCCATCTTTTCCTTATGACCATCTTATTGAAAAATTACCTTTAACAACAAATCGAATTTCAAAAACGCGTTTTTATTTTTAATCCTCTCTACGATGTATCAAATAAAACTTTCATTTCGAAAAATATTATTTCGAATATCAACATTTTTAGGGAAATACTGAACTCCCAAGGCCTAAAAGAATTCCCAGAGTAGAATCTTTGAGAAACCTGTTTAAGACCGGCAGCGATCATTCTGTTTACGGCAAAAATTCTACCAGAAGCGCGACGATACAAGAGGAGGATACTGTTAAAGTTAACCATTGTCCGATGGAGAAAACGCTCAGCGAAGGAGCGATCAGGAAGCTTCCGTTTCGAAGAATTTGTCGTGAGAATTTCAATGATCGCGAATTCGCTGAAATCGATCGGGAATTGTTTCTCCGTAAAAAGAAATTACAGCTAAGTCGCAGCATACAAGATCTTCAAGAGCAACAGCGGGTCTTGGATTTTATACTCAAAAATCATGAGAGTCTGAAAACACGTCAGGATGACACATTCACACGAGAAACATTGGAGAACGTTGGTACGAGCGTGAATCCGAGGTCTTCAGGAGAAATAAAGTGTAGGATTCCGACGCGAACGTCTGATCATCAATCTGCCAATAACGTTAGTATCAATGAAGTTAAAGGAAATTCCTATCCCCAGGGATTATCTTCCGGTTCGTTGACTGGTTTGGAAGATTTACTGAGCAACCTGCGTATAGGTTGTGATGAAAGTGGTTACGATTCGGATAGTACGCGAACCGGCGCGGATTCGCCGGATAGCGAAAAATCGGCGGTGCCTTCCTTGTTGAAACCGCGCAGTTTTTCAATAACATCGTACGATTATCGCGGCATTGACTTATCGCCAATCAGTGATATCTCGAGGAAAGAAAATGCAGGTACAGTGACTGAACCACGTTCATCAGAAACATGCATCTCGAAGATCGAGAAGGTCAACGTTACTATTGCCGCTATCGATGCCACGGTGAACAATTCTTCCTTCGATGATTCGACCACAACCCAATCCACTACATTAATGTCGGAACAGGATAATGATACGGACAACTGCGATAAAGATACTTTTCCCGATTTTCTAGAAAATCAGCCGGATTTAACAAGAATTTATTCTAAAACGGAACCAGATCTCTTACCAAAATCTTGCAAGGATCTAATGAAAGCAGCATCTACGACTTCTGCTTTGATCGACGAGGATTTAACAAAACTCCAAGTGGCATACCGTAATGATCTCGACGTTACACTGCAATGTGACGATGCTGATGCGAATGGTATCGATGATACTAAAATGAAAGCTGATTCTAATGAGAGAGAACTTTGTGTAACACCAAAAAGTTATGTTAACGTATCTCAGATGGCTAAATTTCAGAATTTATTGAAAGACAAAAAGTCCAAAAATAGAAAATGTTCAAGTCCAAGTGTATTACACTTATTAGAGCATGCTGCGTCTCCATGCAAAGACAGCCCACCGGCTAACAAAGTTCATTCCTTAACTGCGATGACTAACCCTTTACGATATTACAGCCCAAAGAGATCGCGTTCCACATTAGAACTTGATACATTGGACGTGTTGAGGAACGTGGCAAAGAAAACGATTTGTATGTCCTCGGTTCCTATCACTTCCGTTAAATCTGTCCCTGCCACTAACAAAATCCTAATACGACGTGAATTGAAAACGATGAAACTGACGGTGAACCACACGGCGGGTCTTGGTATTTCGGTCGAACGATGCGAGGCGGCTAGGCCATTCTACGTGATCGCCAAAATGGATTCTAATGGCGAAGCAGCTAAATCGAAGCAATTCCGCATCGGCGATGAAATCGTTCGAGTCTGCGGACGTAGGATACGCGGTATGTCGATGGCGGAGGCGAGAAACGCTTTGCGGAGTTGCGTTGGAACGGTTGAACTGCAAATCGCGAGAGAACCAAACTCAGTCTTCGGCGAAGAAATCGGTGACACGTGGGGCAACGCCTTGACGCGAACGCGAAGCGATCCCGACGCGTGGATTTTGAAGAGCAAAAGAACTGAACAGTCAGTTTCCTCGGATGATGCTGTATCTTTGACAAACGCTGGAATCCCCCGTGCCGTTGACGATACGACTGTTAGTCTCCAAAAGATGACAGGTATGAAGAAGTTTCAGGTCATGAGGAAACGAAGCGCTGAGGCGTCCACTGTTCGACGAGGATCCAGTTTATCCATTGATCTGTTGACGATCATATTGGAAAAAGGAGTACCTAAGAAATTAGGCTTCTCCATTGTTGGCGGCATTGATAGCAATAAAGGACGTATGGGTATCTTTGTGAAGGATATTATGCCTAGTGGACAAGCTGCAGAAGAAGGTATCGTATTTCTTGTAAAACATTAGAGCGATTTATTTTAGAATATGAAATTAATACATACTCAGTAAATGAGAATGGATTAAAATGGATTCAGATTTTCAGAAATACTTATTCGCGAACGTTAAATTAAATCCTTTTCAATTTGAATATAATTTTATTCGTCTATAAGAATTGTATAAAGCACATTTCTATACCTTTCAGTGTAAAAATAATATTCACTTTTTCTGTACATCATGTATATTGCTTGATTCAAAATTCTGAATAAGAGATGCAGTTTTTTAATCCAATTAAATCTAGTTGAATTAAATTGAATAAAAAAAAGTTGTTTTTTTATCATATATTTTGATGATTATGAGAGAAAATTTGCAGTAGTTTACCTGTAATGTTCAAGGTACTCTGAGAGTGGGAGACGAAATTTTAGCGATTAATGGCTCCTCGTTGGATGGGCTGACGCACGCCAAGGCATTACAAATGTTCAAAAGTGCCAAAGCCGGAAATTTGATACTTCATATTGCTCGAAGAGATCCAACGCATAAACGGTTGTGTCACGCAAACCATGCATTTTAAATTAATATTTATTTATTAACATGGTTAGTTTTTGCTTTGCTCTATTAACAATTACTGACAATATTATTCATGATTTTTGCTTTTTGCTTTCAGCGGCGTTAATTAATGATATGAAATATTTTCAACAAAAATTTTTCTATGTTGCAGATATGTCACACAAGCAAAGTCGTATGATTGCCTCGATAAATTAACGAAGTCCATTGACGAATGAAACTTTACCATTATGGTCGTTAATTATATTATTAATTTTGCCTTTAAAAACATAATGAATTATGAGAAGTTACAAAAATTTCTATTAGATACAATTTCCTAAACTTTTCTAAGTTTATTAAATTAAAAATTATATTTAACTGTTAACAAATTTACATTAAAAAATTGATCTATCGATATTTTACATTCTAAACATTTCATGTATTTCGGTATCTAACGTGCTTTCGACGATATTTTGTACGCAGAGAGGTATATCATAACTGAACTCTAATGTGATATCAATCAGTTACTTTCTAACGGATAATATTCGTAACAATTTTTTTCTAATCGACCTTTTTTATAAATAAAAACATTATGCATTATATAATATATATATATTGTATATTGTATATAATATTGAACTTAAACTCTCTAAACAAGATCTCAGAGATAACAGCAGTCCGTATTTATTTTTGTTTTCATGTATTTCTTTTATATTTAATTAATTTATCCTATTTCAGAAAAATTAGGTAACTAGAGTTAAACTTTGCAGAATAATTATTAAATATTTGCATTTCTTATTCAGACCATATTTATTTAGATATGAACGTTACACTTTAACGTTAAAGAAATGTTAAGTAAAGAAGTAGAAAATTAGTCAACAATAATGATATTGTGCAGCTTTATAGCCATGTCCTGTTAGATATGGTACGCTAACAGCTTGGAATATGGTTTAACTTAATAGCATCGTGGGATTTAACAAATGTTTTTATTTAAAAATATATTCTTGTGTAAATCAATCTACACGAACATCGAAAAGTTAATTAATTGCGTCCGAAAGCACGAAAGTTATCAACTCCGTAATGTTACTACAATAATTAGTAATTTTCGTTAAGTTATTTCGTTAAGAGACTGACATTATGTCTACCTGCAAAATGCTGTGATAATGATTGTAGTCGTATCGGCTAATATTATGCGAGTTGTATATTTAATAATAAATGTGATTCTGTTAAATAAAATATAGATTTTTGGTAAACATTTTCCTTTGAATCAAATACTTTATATTCATCATTTTATGAAGTATTATATAATATACTAATCTTTGAATTTTTATCTAGTTTGTTGAATCGAAGACGTAGTCGATTAGTGAAGAATTAGTTAAGAATTTATGTTTCAAAATTAATTAATTTTTAAACGATAAGAATGCCGTGAAATAAGATACACCCGTTCGTACCACCTTAAAATATTTAGAAGCGTATGAATTATTTTTTGCATGTTATAAATTATTTTTTCAGATTGTCTCGTACTTACCGAAACAAAAACTGCCATTGACAACGGAAACAAATTACCTGCTGTCAGTTTACACGGCACAATACTTCTGTAAAGAGTAATGATTAGCAGTGATTTTAGTTTTGGTGAGAATTTGTACCATTCCGCTGCGTACCTGAAAGAATACATATTTTAAATTAACTTTTATTTTAATTTTCTATTAACATAAGTCACTCAAATTCTAGAAAGTATATTATCATAAATTGAAAAATTAAAATTAAAAAATCAAACTCTTTTAAATAAAATCTCATATAATACTTTTTATAATATATCCAAAACTTTATATATGTATATACTTGTATCTTGCATACTTCACGTATATTGCTTTAAGAAATAATTTAAATTACAATTCTAAAATAATTTAAAATCAATTTACAAATTGTGAATTTAGATATTTGAAATAATAGATATTTAAGAAAATATAAAATAATTATTACGCTCGATGAAATATATTCTGACTTTCATCCATTAATTTCTGGCCGGAATAACACACGATCATCAATTGTAACAATGCCCCCATGATTATAAACGTAAATCTAATCAGTTCCTCTAGTTGGTCTAACACATAGACAATCTATAATACATCAAAGGTATTATATGTATATCCATGCGCTATCTGAAATATAATCATATTTGCACGAAATTTATGAAATCACAAATTTTTTAATTTAATATATTGATGCCAATTATTGGAAAGAATTGATTATTTGATAACGATCATACTTACTCGAACTCCAAGTAAACTAAAAACTGCAGCGATGAACAATGAAAAACTAATTCCGACAATCTTATGCGTATCGTTTAATATATTGACATATCTGTGATAACGATGATTTTAATTAATTAATTATATGATTTTATTAAAAATTATTCCAGCAATCAAGCTGACGTTATTTATCGTCATTTTAACATGATTTTGACAAAAAATGATATTTTGAACATCAAAGTGACATCAAAATAATGATAAGTAACATCTGCAGCTTGTTTGCCGGGATAAAATGAAATTGAGAACCGTGAGAATAAATTTAATTAGATAAGAGAAATCTTAATTTTGGTCAAAGTGTATCTTAATACTTAAATATTTCGGTACAAACTTATTATATACATACATATCCAATTCTAGGTACTAAAATTTTTTTCGGTTTTATTCGGAGTTTTTGACTTTCTTATTAATATCAAATTATTATTATTTTTATAAGATATTTATATTAGCATCAATAGTATTAAATTATTAATTGTCTATTTAATGCCTGATATTATTATATATTCTCTAGTTCTGTTTCATGATTGCGTTTTAAGACTAAAAAAGATTTCGGTTTGCAGAATTGAATATGTATATAAATTCACACTAAAGTATTTAAGTTAGGGATGTGCGGAGGATCACAAACTATCGATACCTTGAATCAATATACCAAGTGGGAATACATCAATATATTAGAAATAGATTGTATCGATATTATATAGCGAATTCGGTAGCTTGATTTTATATTAGTACCAGAATCGTATTAATGAAATTTGCGCTCAACTAGAGGCTATTGTGATCTTTGAGCGCTCCTGCTTCCTTTAATGATCAATAAACAGTAAAACAAAAAATTAATATTTTAGATACACTTTTGTGTGTGATTGCGCAGGCAGTTGGTCAATAGAGATAGTCAATAAGCCGAGATTTATTGAATTATACTTGGATGTACTACAAATATACAACAAATACAATATAAAATTATTTTATATGCTTACACGGCTCTATTTACGCCGAAGTTGTGTAACATCGATATTTTGAACATAGCCAGTCTCAGTCATTGTTTTATTTTTCAGAAGAATAGCTATGATTGGTCAATTTCATACATCGATCCTATAATTTCGACGTAAATCAAGTCGTGTATAAATATAATAATTAATCTCATCATGTTAAGAGAAAGCAGAAGCCTTATGAGTCAAATATATATCTATTATTAATAATTACTATTTATCGATTATTTAATGATTTTTTTTTAAATTGCAAAATTCTAAGTACATTTATTGTTTAAGTAACTTAGTTTTTCATTTTTTTTATTGTGGCGCTCCTGGCATTTCGGCTTTCTAGGATTCAAACCCAAAACTTCATATATTAAGCTCGGATCCTCATGCAAAATCCCGACACTTTGACAACGAGCATGATTGGTGAAAAATGGGTAATAGGGATAAATTTTACCTCTGTAACTTGTTTTTCACCAATCAGCTTTCAGTATCAAAACGTCAATATCTACATGAGAATTCGGGTTAATGCGCTACTGGTTAGTACTACCCTGATATAATACTAGTGCAGCACGGGATAAACGCGATCAATCACAATGCGACTTAGGACAGCATTAAAACTGAAGAAGCACAATAACACTGAATTGAGATAAAGTGAGTATTATTAAAAATAGTGCTGTAAATCTACGTCCTACTTATTGTTCCTCAATCAATCAATTCTTGCAGAATATAAATTTTATCCGCCGTTTTGATTAAATAAATCAAATCGCACTGTCAGAAATTGAATACAATATAAGGTTTACTCTCGTTCAACTCATATTTTGTTTTACTATATAAATATAATTTTAGCGCTTTAGTCTAATTTTTATTCGCAATATAACTTAAAGCTCGCATGGTAACATGCAATTTAATGTGAAAATTTCTTGTCATTGGGGTAGAGGGCATTGATCGAATATGTGGCACTGAGAAAGTTTATACTTAGCATGCGCAGTGTGCGCATTAGCTCAAGTTGCCGAGTTTTCTATTATGAAAGAATATCATTATTTTCAAGAACGTCTGTAAAAATTTTCCGGGAGAGGGGCATAATCCAAAATATAATAATAATAATATCTTTATTTGCATAACTTTTTTATGCATTTATATTCATATACATGTGTATATTCATATAATTTATAATTAAAAGCTTAATTATTACTATTATTTCGACACACGCAAATATATATATAATTACAAACGTATATCTTTTGATATTAAAAGTTTTCTCACCGTGACAAAGTAAATATAAATCGAGAAAGAGAAATTGTATTAGCAATTGTCACCCAAGAAGAAACAATATCTTTTTAGACATCAATGAGTATTTTTTATATGTATATACGTATTATATATATTTAATATTATAAATAGTATTATATTTAAGCATTAAGATCCGCTTTGATCAAAAATAGGAGATTTCCTTTTATTAAGTATTTATTATAACCATATCTTTGGCGTAAAAAATCATATAAAGAAATGTCTTTTACTCTAAAGCAAGTTGATGTTTCCTTAAACATGCGATATATTCCCGATATATCATTTCCTCGCTGAACATTTTATATTCTGTTTTTGCACAATATCCGATTTGGTTGATTTCATCGCTAATATTCACATTTGATATTATATTTTCAATCTGTTGACTGCAATAAGAATCTGTGATATTTAGCGAAAATGTATCGTAAACACAATAAATAATAATAAGGCTCTATACGAATAAAACAAAATAGAATAATTGAAGGGTTAAGAGCCAGTTATGTAATAAAGAATGTTTAATTTAAAACATAAAAATAAAAATAATTACAAACGTTTCGACGTCGATCGAGTTGTTCTCAATGTTATAGTGAATACATTACAATCATAAAATTATTGGAAATCTATAAAATATTAGTTCTATAAAATATTGTTTCAATAAATTAAAATAGTCAAATTAGTCGTTGAAAATTC